TGTCTTAGTCAGTTTCTCTCTCTGGCTTCTCTCCTTCCCTCTTCCTGTAGCCATTCAGCTTTTGCCCTTTATTTTTCCTCTTCCTCAACAAAAGTACATCTTCCTGCCTCACACCTTTTCTTGATTGGCATGCGAGCATTCTGTGGATTGCACCTCTGTGAACACGTCATCATTTCTAGAAGCATACGCTTTCCCAAAGTAAGTTTTTCAGTGTAGCACAGGACGTGTTTACTAACAGCCCCCAAACACCTTTAGTTCCTTTGTCCCAAAGTAGATAAACTTATGTCCAGCAATGAATGTTTCTGTATTTATCTTATGTAGATTAATATCAATCTAATTCACTTACTTTTAACAATTATACTTGGATTACCCGTGAAAATCTCAGGAGACGTTAAAGCTAATCATCTTATTTTTCTTGCTGGGAAATTTTGTAACAGAGAGATAGCACGAGCTTATTTGTGATTCACTTGTTTTTTAACACGAACTTATTTGACGAGTAGACCTCGGTAGAATAGAAGTTGCATGTCTGTGTTATATTTGATGTTGACAACTCTGAAGGTGTATCCATTTTTTAACACTAAGCCAACAATATTTTTGTTATCAAAGATTATTAAAGTCATGTGAACTTGAAAAGCATTTGTGTTAATTCCTATTTTTCTGGGAGTTTTAGGATTATTTAATTTATATAAGCACTTGTTTTTACTTATGTCTATTCAACAAACATGAATATACATAGACATACAGACAGAGATCTCATAACTTTCATTTCAAAATCTTAGATATGTCAAGTACAGGAACATAAAACTTCCAATTTTTGAAAGAAGATGGATCTAAACTGCTTCTGGCATATGGAACAAGCCAAGGTTACCTACTCAAATGCCTAAAGTGTTTTATTAAAGATTTTTCATTTGCATGCTGTAAGGATCTTTTAGAGAAGCCATTTCTGAGTCATTTTGTTTTTAGAATTTTCTGCATACTAATCAGATAATACATTTCATTGTCTCTGAAAGGTTTAGGGTTCTCTTTTTTTCAAGGGCATCCCCTAAGGTGAACTATCTTATCTAAGTTAAAGGTTCCCTAAAGTGGTCACTGCAGCTGGTCACTGCAGCTGGTCACTGCAATTCCAAATTATCCAGTGTAAAATTCACCTGTTTTTCCAGAAAGATACAAGATCCTGATCCATAGTTGGTTTGGACCAGGAGGAACCCATCTTCGTGATGAGGGGGTCCTGTTTCTCCACAGCTGTTCTGAACATGGGGAATCATGTGTTTCTACCCCCTGTTTTTCAACATTGTAGGGTGACCTATTGAGAAGCATCACCAAAGGTTGCTCAACAATATTTGCTCAACAGTATTGGATAACTTGACATAAAGGGAGTAAAGCTTGGATCCAAAAGATACTTGCTGTAGAACACCATGGTTGGGGAGAAGCAGGAAGCACAGTGGGCTCTGTGGGTTCCAGTGCCTGGTCATTCCCTGGCCTGGGGTTTATGGGGTGAGGTGAGGGGATGAGGGTACTTCTGCGGATCCCACTTTTGACACCAAAAACTGTTGAAATGAGGCAAGACAGCTAGCATAGCTTAGATTTAGATGAGTTTGTTACAGGCAGGCATAGCTTAGGTCATTAAAAAACCAGATGGTACTGTCTCATCAGGATGTAACTCGCTTGAACAATACCTACACTGACCAGGCACACCAGACCTGACCTTGGAAGGAGAAATGGTTGGCACAGTCGATCACAAAGACCATAGATGAAGGCAACAGAGAGTTACTAGGGACACTGAGTCATGGTGCTCTTAGAGAGACCTTAATTAAGCAGTAACTTTTTCCATTATCTCCAAAGTTCCTTGTGGCACGAGTAAGTTTAGAAGTGAAATGATAAGAACTGAAACTTGTGATCAATAGCTTGTTGTAACCCATGTTGCCTACAAGTCTTAAGTAGAAAGTAGGTTACTTAATCATCATTTTTGACAATATATATAAAACTTTCTGTGAGACCTCATCTCTACAGTAAGTCAAAAAATTAGCTGGGTGTGGTAGCGGGTGCCTGTAGTTCCAGCTACATGGAAGGCTGAGGTGGAAGGATCACCGGAGCCCTGCAGGTCGAGGCTGTGGTGGCCAGGAGCAGCCACTGCACTCCAGTGTGGGCGACAGAGTGAGACTCCACCTCAAAAAACAAAACAAAAACAAAACATAAACTTTCTGCTAATAGCAAGTCTACATTCTTTCCTCTAAGGCACTTGCGTTCTCTCTTGAACATGTCTTTTCTTTCTAATAAACTCTACCTTAAAACAATATCTTTGGACTCATTCTGAAATTATTTTCTTGGCAAAGTCAAGGACCCATGGAATAGCTACACCCCATGCCACCCGACATCAAAAAAACAATCCAGAAAGCGTTTCTTGATATAAACGTTTTATTTTATTGAGCCGGAAACAAACTGTTGGCTAACAGGGAGACTTCAAAACCAAAAGTGTTGAGTAGCTTGTCTCACTAAGACAACATTAAAGTTTATATAATATAGAAAAGGAAGTTCATATAGCTTAATTCTTGTTGGTCAGGATGAGCAGGTTGGTCATCGCCAAGTTGCTACAATGTGCTGAGTCATGCTCAAAAAGATCTAAAGGTCAAGCATCATTTACAGTGTAGTACACGTCCTGGGAAATGTGTCTTCATGAGTTTCATTGAGCTGGGTGTGGGATATTGGCTCAGATGCAAAGGTTGTCTTGGCTTCCATTTTGATTTTTGCTACACAGGACCATGTTGTTGTCCAAGTTTTTAAATATCATCTTGTCCTAGTTTTAGTTTTTCTGACTCTTTTAATAGACTGCAACTCTACTTTTTTCTGTGTCCTTGGTTTTATACCTCACTTGTCATCTTTTAGTTAACCTGACCCTAAAAATAAGAAATTATATGCACATAGTGTGTTAACTTAAAACAAAACAAAACAAAACAAAAACACACACACACACAACCTAGAAATTTAGAAAAGGAAAAGAGACTTTCTTTCTTGTAAAGGGTTGCCACCTGCCAGGTGACCATCCCGTAGCCTGGGAAGCTGCTTAGCCAAGACCACAAGCCGCACTTGAAGGAGAAGGGGTTGGGTAGGAGCTTTATGCTGAAGGGGTTGCTGAACACACATATTTTGCAGGTGATAGGAAGAGCTATGAATGTTCATGCAGGTGGTCCTGACACATTCAGATGGAACAAGCATGCTACATATGACCTGTGTTCACCTTGGGGTGGAGACTTAACATTTAAATGTATTACAATTAGGCCATGAGGTCCAAAGTTCTTTTTGGGACATGGAAGCACTCAGTGTGCAGCCTCTGTAAACCAGCCAGAACCAGTCCATTGTTGTTGGTCTTTCATCAGGAGACTGAAATCTCTTCCTTATCCAGTCAAAGCTGTAGTTATGTTGGTAGAAGAGGGGTCAGTTAGTCAGTGTCTGTGAGCTGGATGCGCTGTAATTGTTTTAATATTGATGATTTGGGGACACTGCTTGTTTAGCTGCTACAGAAAAAGAAGAACCTTGTGGCCATAAGGACATGGTTCATTCTTTAAGTGTAGGATGCGTGATCCAACCCTTGCCTGGCATGGTGTTAGGTCCTGTTTATAATTTGGTATCATGTTGCCACAAAGAGTCTGTTCTATCAGTCTTATCTCTATTTTAGCATTAATGCAGGTCAGGGTGTCTAAACCCTAAAAAAGGAAGGGGTGTAATGAGGCATGTCTGGCCTCCTGTTCCATCATGGCCAGTAACTCTGCTTTAAGGTTTTTCTGGGGTCCCCCTGACCACAGGAGGGTCCGTTCAGTTGGGAGGGCTTGGGGTTTTAAGTTTGCAATAGTATAATTTTAGATACTATATAAAAATCCAAAGAAGAAAATAAAATCCTGAGTCCCATTCCTTCTGTATGCTGTTACAACCCGAGCTCGGTGGTGAGCTATCTCAGCAAGAGGCAATGATAGGGGAGGGAAGGCAGACTTGGGAGACACCCCTGGTTTCTACCCAGAGTTGCCGCCTACAGTGTGCCTTTGAGCTGGTGTCATGTAGTCTGAGTTTTGGGTTCCTCCGGTGCAATGTGAGAATAATACCTACAGTGAAGCTGTTTGTGAAGATTTGTAAGGTGCTTAGGATGTGCTAAGCCAATGCACGTTCTCTCACTCTTACCCTGTTAGACATGTCTACTTTCTCATATTTCCTGCCTTTCTTCGCGGTCTAAGATGGTAGGATCTGATTTTCTTCCCTTGAGTGTTTTATTTCCTTCATGAGTCTTGATCTTCTGATCTCTACTCACTGGACGATGTCCAACTTTTCTCTGACTCTTGGGAGAGAAGTTTAAGGGATGTTCAGAGCACGTGTTTGATTTTGTTTAGTCTTCCATGTTTTTACTAACACAGGTTCTAAAATAACCCAGTCACCTTGTCCAAGGCTTCTTTCATTTTCACGCTGCAAAGTATTGCCTCCCTACAGGTTGGAATTGCATTTTCTGATGTTTCTCCAGTGGGCAGAACATGACATTTGTTTATTATAGAAAATTAGGAAAATACAGAGAGGTATAAAGAACATTTAAAATGACTAGTTTTCCTAATGCTTAGTGTTTTGGTGTATCTCTTTTTTTTATGTATGTTTTAATCACAGATGTGAATCCACAATTCATGACATCTATGTTTAGAGAGGAAAAATTATTGAAAAATTGGGCAGATTTTTCATTCTTAGAAACAGTTCTTGGAAAGTTCAGGGTTTGAGTTCTGTGCTCCCATCTGGTTCCATCTGAAATATATATGGTGTGAGACATGGACGTCTCACCACAGCAGCATAGACAAGCCGCCTACTTTTGATGGTCCTGACTTGGTAACCCTACTTAAGGTAAACCTACTCTCTCCAGCATTTAAAATATCTGTGTCGTTTGAACCTTGGTCTTACTGTTATTTATTTTCAACATGTTTATCTGAAATGTTTAGTACATTTAATTGACACCGTTTTCTTAAACATTTCAGAGTTTTCTTTCTTCGATCCCAATGATGCCTCATGCCAGGAGATCCTCTTTGACCCCAAAACTTCGGTCTCAGAATTATTTGCCATTTTAAGACAGTGGGTTCCTCAGGTCCAGCAAAACATCGACATTGTTGGAAATGAGGTAGGAAGTCTGCATGTTAAGTTTTGCTTTGTCAGGCTGGTTGACAGTCGGGAATTTTTTCCCACCTGAGTGGCAAGATGGGCTGGGGGGGTAGGGGTATTGTCATGATTTAGGACAATCTTCTTTCCCCATCATCCCCTCAGGTTCTGTACTTTGGTGGCGTTATGGACTCTTAGCGGAAGCAGGGAGAGGCGTTTTTCGTGTTTTCTTCTTTGTACAAATTAGTTTTGCAAACTTTGATGCGTTTTATGAAGGGATTTGATTACCGTCCTGTCCCGTGTGCACTTTTGGGTGGTTTGGTAAAGATCCCGACTTGAGTCTAATTATTTCTTGTGTTTCATTTTTTGAGGGAGGGTTTCTACCAGTTGTCCTGTTCCAGGAAGAGAGTGCTTGCACTTTTTAAGAATATCCTTCATACCCATTAGAAAGAGAAGTTTGCTCATTTTTGAGAGGAGCAGATTTGGGGTGCCAGATTACCTTGGAATACTCTGTAAGAACTTCCTCTAGTCTGTCACAAGTTCATTTTCATTACTGTTGTTGAGTGCGGGTTTAACACTTACCCTGGAGAGAGGATAGGACTGTTTACCCATGGTAATGAGAAGTAATTCGATGAGAGGATGGACTCTCTTGGTTCTGGGGGGGGGCGGGTTAGGGTTGGGGAGGGGTTGTTAAAGGAACGGGCTCTTCAGCAGCTCCACTGTCCTTACATTCCCGCCTTCTGCAGATCCTGAAGCGAGGCTGCAATGTGAATGACAGGGACGGACTAACGGACATGACCCTCCTGCACTACACCTGCAAATCCGGGGCTCACGGCATTGGTGCGTGTGGCTGACCATCCGCGTCTGTGTGTGTCTGACCCCTGCCTATGCCAACCCGAATCCCTGGGATGGTACCCGGCCCATGCTGGCAGTGTTGCCCGGCGCAGTGAGGATTCTGTGAGGCCCTTCCAAAACCTTCCCTTTTCTCAGGGACGACTCTGTCCCCTACTGGCTCCCCGTCAGCTTTCTAGGACAGGCTTCATGCCTGAGCTTGTAGCTGGTAACACCCTGGGGTCCTGCTGAAGGCTTGGAGCGAGGTTCCCAGCCCTCTAAGACACCTGGCTTTCGCCTGTCCTGGACATGTGACATGGGGGCGTATTTTCCCAAACTGGTTAGTCTTCTGCACTTTGCCATTTTATAAACCCTGCCTCTTACTCAACTGTCTTGGGATTGTTGCTCCTGTTTCCCTAGTTTGATACAATGTTTCTCAAGCTATTGGTGATGAAGGACTCTGTTTTTCCTCCCCCTGAAGTCTTTATGGACCAATGCTTTTGTAAAATTAAATAAAAATGAGTTTATAATAACAAATGAAATAAAGACATAAAATATAAGTTCAAATAATTTTAAAAGGACATACAATTACATTTTAATTGATGTAACGATGAGAAATATTAAATAGGAGAAAAAAGTCACAAAGAACACATGCACATGAGTTTGAGACTGGCCTGGTCCACGGAACACACGTGGAGCCACACCCATCTAGCACTTTGTTTTTGTTTTATGGCTCTCATCCCGTGGAGGTCTTAATTTATTGATCCAGTTTATTCTTATTATGCTTTTAGGTTGTTTCAGAAGTGCATGAGCAATACACGAGCAGGTGTGCACATCTGTACACAAAGGGCTCACCTGCACCCTGAATGTGATGATGATTTTCTTAGAACAGATTCTTAAGTGAAATTTCTGAGGTGTAAATGCACATTCAGCATGCTGTCTGCTTTGACTTTTTAAATGAGGGAGTAGACAGCCATCCCTCAGAGCACAATATTTGAGCTGAAGAAAGTAACTTAGAAACTCTTCTTTAGGTGACGTAGAGACAGCTGTCAAGTTTGCCACGCGCCTCATTGACCTGGGAGCGGATGCTGGCCTGCGCAGCCGCTGGACCAACATGAACGCTCTGCACTACGCAGCCTACTTTGATGTCCCGGAGCTCATTCGTGTGATTCTGAAGACGTCAAAGCCAAAAGGCAAGTATGGTGGATTCCCATGAGATGCTAGGAACGGACCCCTCCGGTGGTAATGTGACAATTGCAACTGAAGGAGATTGTTTGCTTCTAATCCATCTTGTTTCATATGCCTTTCTGTCCCATTTTATTTCAGAGAGCGTTCAGAATTTCTTTTTGGAATACTGATTACTGTCCTTCTACAGAAGGCTTAGTACAAAGAGATGTGAAATTAAAAAGTGTTCTCTGGGTTTTCAAAACTCTGTCAATTCTCCAGTATAGCAGGGGTTTCTTGGTAACCGATTCTGTGTGTTCGCAATTCTTTTGTCTAGCTTAGGTGGCCAGAAACAGAGCAGTGAGGCCTTAGAGGCAGTGCCGAGATGATACTGGATATGGATTTCAGGTGCAGCCAGTTCTGGAATTTTGTGATTCAATTTAAGGATAAAATTCAGATTTTTATTTTTCTTCTATCTTGCTGGTGGTATCCTAAAATGGGAGATCAGGATGCCTAAGTCACAATCCTGGTGTTTTGACTTTCTTTCTGGTTCCCTTCGTGGGCATCAGTTTATTGTTTATTTGTCTGTTGGAGAAAAACATGAGAGAACATGAACAGTTACCTTCTAAAGAGAGTGCACAATTATCCTCCCCATTGTGGAAGACATGTTTCAGTGATTCGATGGGTGAATTTCCTAGAACGTTCATTTTCTGACCTCTGATTTGCATAACTGTCTATTTTCTGTAATCCCAACACTTTAGGAGGCTGAGGTGAGTGGATTGCCTGAGCCAGCGGGTTCGAGACCTGCCTGGGCAACTTGGTGAGACCTCATCTCTACAATA